AAAAATGGAGCCATTTCTCAGCCTTATCATTTGCTTTCTCTCCCCCTGCAGAGATGTCAGAAGTGACAGCGCTCTGCAGTGGTTGCCTGAACATTCGCCGTTACCGGTCGGTAAGAATGCGTGTCACAGGGTGTTTACGGGGGAGCTGGGCCCTTTTTAGCTTTACGGGCACACAGTGTTTGTGTCGACCTCATGTAACGTGAGAACACTAACCAAGCTTCCTTTTTTGTAGCCATCGGCTCACTAGACTTCTGCATTTCTCACAAAAGACTGTTCTCCTTCTTCCAATCTGGGGTGGGAGAGAGGCTGTGCCATGCTGGCGGCTGCCATTTTGAGGTGCGCCACAGGGTTGGCGGGGGAGGGTGTTTGCCAGGCTGAGGTAAGGGAAAAGGAAAATGGGTACGAGGGCACGTGCCTGCCGTGGCGTTGGTCTGAAAACAGTTGGCAGTCAGGGCTTTAGCATGAGATGGAGGCCGACTGCCCTGCTGGAGTAGCTGCCATTTTGGAAAGGTATATGGGAGTGGGGGGAATGGACAACCTAGGCAGATGGAGGGAAAGGAGGGAGTCAGGGACCTTGGCCTCAGAGAGGCTTCTAGCTCACATCTGCCTACAATGGCTGTGGCCATGGGGCCCCTGGAACAGAAGCTAGCCACACAATGTAGCATAATAGTAATAAATTAGAACATAACTATTCTAAAAAGACTTACATGCCGAGGTTCCCTGCGTAGGATCAGTTCCAGTCTGGGTTGCTGCCTAGGAATTGGGGTTGGTTGCTGCAGGGCGGGAATCAGGCTCGCCTTCTACCTGGGCGGTATTAGGGTCCTGAGTCCTGAAGAGATCCTGGATTTTCAGGGAGATCTCTTCCCCGGGCTCCTCCTCCTATGAGTCTCGCTGGTCATGCTCAGGGGGAGGGAGGGAAGATGGGGAAGAAAGTGGCCAGGGTCATGTGGTTATGTAAAATCTTATCCAGCTCTTCAAAAACTGGACAGGTTACGTGTCCCTCATTGGATATTTTGTCCCTGTTGTTCCTCATTTTAATGTGGGTGTTCTTGAGCTGTTTGCTTTTTCTTTGGCACTGTTTGGCGTCCCAGTCATGGCCCCTCACAGACATCTGCCTAGCAATGTTCACTAGAAGATCTTTGTCCTGGTGGCTGACCATGACATGTCTCGCCTCCCCAGAGGGTGATGAGATCCAGGCTCTTGACACGACTCCGAGTGGCTGCTGGAGGTGTGCTGTTGGGTTTCTGGAGTGTTACTGCAGCTATTGTGATAAACTGGAATCCAGGAGCAAATGGACAAAATCTGGTTGTGCACCAGCTCGTACACAGGAGGAGCTGTCCGGTCAACTCAACCCCCGAGCTGGGGGGGGCTATGCAGGTAAGCTGACAAGTCAGTAATGGTTGCTAGCAAAGCAGCGTGGGATAGCAGTTGGAGGACTGCCAAAGTAGTGCACGGCGGCATTGCGTGTACTTGAACAATAGACTGGACTAACTGGCTTCGCTGCAAAGTTAGTTCGCTTTGAAAGAGGACTACAGAGTCCTGTGATAAATGTGTAGTCGGTGCACTACAATGAATTGCATTGTGCGCATGCAAGCGTTTTCAAACCACATTAACTCCATTTAGCCCAGTTTAAACTCCCCGTATAGACAAGTGCTCAGTAGTTGCCCTTTGTAGGAAGAAATCATTGTCACGGTGGATTTAGACTCTAAATTGAAATTACTGGCTGCAGAACTAAATGCTGGGGCCAGGCATTCCGTATTGCTCAGCTCAGAGGCAACCCCCCTATGAACTGCAGGCTGGAGTATACAAGGCATGCCAGAAGCGAAACTGCACTGCCATGGGTCCTTCCTGCAAACCTGATTGTCATGCCAGCCTGTTTGAAGGTGGCATCTGGTGCTCATTTTCCCTTCTCCCTACTCAGCTCAACAGCCCACCCCATGCAGCTTCTGCTCCTCCAAATGGTCTTTTTGTTTCTGCTCAGCTCCGTGGAGTATGGACAGGTAGGTGGGGAAGAGGTGCTCTGAACTGGCCTCTCTGGAGTGACCCTAATGGTCCCAATGTTACTGGGGTACCCCTTGGAAAGGGAGCCCTAGGTGGCCATCTCTAAGGCCACACCTGATCTCTGTTCCTGTAGCCCATCCTCACACTTTACTATAGTAGGTGATAATCTCCCTCTTGGGCAGACTGATGTGACTGCGATGCTGATTTTCCTCCACCCAGCCGTTCCCGTTCTGTAACACCTCCTGATGGAGGCACAGAGGCGGCTTGCATTTGTGCCAGCTTTTCAGGAGCTTGTTCATAGTCCCCTGGTCTGTGATGCCCAGTAGCTTCTCTTTCTCTTCCCCCACTTCCGAGGGAGCCGCCTCAGGGGAGTGGGTGTGCCCCAGGCCCATGTCCTGGTTCATGGCCTCAAAGAACTGCTGGATGCAGACCTTGGCGAAGGTCTTGGCGTGCTCTGTGCAGGTCTCGTCGAACAGCTTGCGCTCAATGTCGATGTAGTGGGACCAATACTTGCTCTTCAGGAAGGCAGCTTGAGTGAAGCAGGGCCGGAGGGCCCTGACAAGGAAAGCCAGCATGGTCATCAGCAACACAAAGGACCAGCCCAGAGCCTGCAGGGGTAAAAGGTGGGAAACCAAACTAGTCACAACAAGAAAGACCAAGGGTGGGGCTGGGCTCAAACAAAACCATGTCCTTGATCCCAAGTCCTTGACCTCGCAGGGTTGTTCAGATGCCACCAGTTCAGGCCTCTCTCTAATGAAGACTCTGGTTTGTTTTAAACATACCGCAAAGTCCGTAACCAACAGGAATTGCTTTATTTGCCCACAGGGAAAACCGGACCGTGAGTGGGACAGTGTTTAAGGTAAGCGAGGGGCTGATATGGCCAGCATGGTCTTAATGATGGGGGGAAATATTGTTTGAAAGGTTTACCAGATCCTGAGCTCTGCCAACTCTCTCTAGATAATGGCTCTACCCTTTCCCCCAGTTATCTTCAATAACTAAATCGGTAACGTTCCGGGACTGGAAGTATCTGGAGGGGAAAAGGGTACCCCTTAGGATTGAGTGTGTGTGTCTGTCTGCCTCTGTTTAGGGTGCCTGTGATAGGAAGGGAAAGGTAACAGGTGAGTTGGAATGAGAGCTGCCCCTCCCTGCTGTGCTGCGGATCCGTTTCCTAGCCTCTGCCAGAGATGTCAATGAAAATGTATCGGCTAGCAGCACAGGTATGAAATGGCTACGCTGCTGAGGGGCCTTGCTGGGACTGAGGGAGGACAGGGAGCTCTCACTTCCTTCTCATGCTATGAAGGGTTAAATGCTGCAGTTCTTAGGCCTGGGATGGAGAAAACCTTTGTAGGTAACTTCAGGCCCCTCGCCCGCTCTAACTCCAAAGCTCTATAGGGTACAACAATGCATTTCTAAGCAAAAGTCTCACATAGTTCAAGTCCTATGATCTTTTTTTCTCTTGTGTTCGAATACTGGTATTTTCCAGACTCTACAGATCAATAAATGTGTTGGCGGAGGGATGGTCTTGTCATTTAGATGCTAGACCAGGCTTGGTTGCTCTGTTCCTTGGGCAGGGGTCAATTCATGGCTCTGCCACAGAGTCCCCTTGTGCAAGATATTTAATCTCTCTGTGCCTCAGTTTGCCTCCTGATAATGTGGATGGTGCCTCATGCAGGATGCTGCTGTTTGGCTCAGTCAATCCACGCTTGGATGCTGTGGTGATGGAGGACCTGTACCAGAGAGATGGGATTAAAAGGCCATAGTCTTTAAAGATTAAGCCCAGTCTGAATGCAAACCAGTCTGAATGCAAGGATAGATTGACACCATGCCCACCTTCTAATGGAGTCCTTTAAGTACCAGGAAATACCCTTTTATGAAATGTACTACCACTCAGCATTTATACTGACACTATAGACAGGAACCGAACCATAGCAGAGCAGATAGATACATTATATGACAGCAGTATGGAAGCGTGTGTACCACTGCCTGCTACTAGTGAAATCAGAAAGATGTGTGTGTCATAGGCTCTATACTGCTAGCAGCTAATGGAGATTCTCCTTCTGCACTAGTGGTAGGAGCCTGTTCTTTTGATAGCAGGACTTCTACCCCCAGCGTGTGGCATAGCAATATAGTAACAACTGTTAAGTTGGAGGTTGACATGAATTTATTACAGCATTACCTGAAAATGGATCATCTGCCAGGGGCTGGTCTCCTAGCAGAGGAATAATAAAGGCTCTAAGGCAGGGTTTCTCAAACTTGGTTCTGCGGACCCTACTCCAGGAGGGCTGCCAGCTCTGCTGACCAACTCCTCCCCCTCCCTCCCAGCGCCTCCAGCATGCCGCGGAACAGCTGTTCAGCAGCGTGTAGGAGGCGCTGGGAGGGAGGGGGAGGTCAGGAGATGGGGTGCGTTTGGGGGAAGGGGCGGAAAGAAGCGGGGAAGAGGAGGGGCAAGGGTGGGGCCTTGGGGAAAGGGGTGGAGTGGGGGCGGGGCCTGGAGCTGAGCAGGGGGCTTGGGAGTCCGTGGAAATTTTAAAATCTAAATGGGGATCCTCGGGTTGCTAAAGTCTGCGAATCGTTGCTCTAAAGAGTTAAGCCATAAAATCAAGTGGCACAGCCAGAACTTAAACCCCAGTAACAAGGCAAATCATCTTGCTTAGACTGCGGGGTGGATTTTACACTTCCCGATGAAAAGCTCAAGGGTATTTGCATCCTTTCTAAACCACGAGGAACAAATAAGCTGAGAGCAGCAGCAGCGAAGTGCTTTGTTGCTGCGGCTGGCTTAGCACTGGGTCACTTGGCATTGGGGGATGTTTACATTGCAAATGAGGAGACCATTTGTGCGTTGTCCCTGTACCTGGGTTTAGATTAGTTATTTCCACACAGACATGCACGTGCCTTTACGTCTCCAGCTGCATTGCATGACAATTACCGTCAATTGTACCAGCCCAAACGGTGCTTCTAGTCCAATGCCCTGTCTCTGATAATCGCCATATGAGTCCTTCATCCACCTGCTCATACGGTGCCATTTAATGGCGTGTCCTGAAGCGTGAGGATCCTTAACCTTATAATTGGTTATCCAACCTGTGTAACTGCAGATGCTGCCCTTATTCAGACAACTGTCTCTTTTTGCTAAGCTGTTAGCCGCAGTAATATCCAGCCTCAATGAGCAGGAGCAGCTAGGCTCTCTTCAGTCTAATTCATAAATTCCAGGGATGGCAATAGAGGGGTCTGGCCTCTGCCCTGCATTAGGACCAGGCTTTCTTGTGCCCTGCCAACCTGCTGGACCCCAGTTGTCAGCGCCAGGAAGGGCAAACTGGACTTGCCTAACGCAGCCTTCCCAAGGAGGGCTCGTGCATCGGTTCTATATTCAGGTACTGTCTCTTTTACAATCACGCACCAGCTGGTGGAGAGTGTTTGCCAATCAGTCTGGAGGCCGGGTTCTGTTCTTGTCTCTGCCACTGATTCTGCCTTGTAGTGTTGGCCAAGTCACTTCCCCTCTATGTGCCTCAATTTCTGTATTTAAAATGGGGATAATGGTACTTGCCCATCCGAGTCTCAGCCCCACAGCAGGTAAAGAGAGCCTCAGGTGGAAGGTGCAATAGCTGTGCTAGGAATGATCAGTCACTTAATATCAAGGTTCCATTTATAAAGAATTGAAACAACAGATAGCTGTTTATATGCAGATTAGCGACATAAAGGAATATAGATCGTTATAAATGGTCAGATAAGCCATGCTAATAAGCAACCTGTGACTTGTTTGACTCTAGCAATCTGATTAGCCATTTATTAAAACAGCTATTAATCATTTATGAACCCTTTATAAATGGAACCGCTATATAAAGTGTGACCAAATTATCATGATTCCAGCAGCCCAGTGGCTATCTCGAATGCTTCCATATGGGGGGGGGACCTGAGATCAGAACCCAGCACTTGGGTCCTCACTCCCCAGGCCAGCTTGTGTGGGAGAAATTTCTCCAACAGAAATTGCTACCCTTCGAAAAAAATCTTCCTTTCCCTGGTTCACAGTTCACTAAGCAACTCTTGTTCTCCTTGAAGGCCAATGTCCTGCATTTCTGCTCTCTAACCACCATGCCATGTGGTCCCAGACTCCTCTGATAAAAGAATATCTTGCAGAGGTAGGGTCCTTTGGTCAGAATAGGCAGTTGGCCAAATTCAGCTCTCGTGTAGGCAGATATAACTCTTATTGACTTTAGGGAGAATTGCCCCAAGTATGCCATGGGCTGAATTTAGCCCTGGATTTGTATGGATCACTTGCCTGCCGAAATGCAGCCACTTCTGGAGTGGAACATGGCTATCCATTTAATGGTGCACAGCAACACTCCCCAAGAATTTAGGACAGGAAGTGACTGTGAAAGCTGAATCCAACTGAAACGTCAGGGGGGGATTTAGGAAGGCACAATCTAACTACCCACATTGGAATTAGGCTAGGAGGAGACACTGAGGCTGACAACTCTAGTCTTCCAAAAAACCTGACCTGGGATAGTTAATGGTCATGGCGAGCCAAGGCATCAGATTTACATGCCATCCAAAAGACAGCACCCCCTGGAACCATGCTCAGACACACACTGTGGACCCCAAAGAGAGAGCACCCCCTGTTTTAGGTACCAACACTACTTCCTGCAGCAACCGTGGGTTTCTTCTTGAAAGTCTCCCATCCAGATAGGACCAAGCCCATATAGCACAAGCCCCCCTTACCTGTGAGATGCAGCGCAGGTATCTCACCGCCACCTCCCTGGCCACAAGCTCCTGCCCGCTGTAGATCTCTTTGCAGGGGATGCGGGCCAGTATCCTCCTCATCTCCTTCTCCGACAGGCCCGTGAAGCTCCCGTTCCCCAGCTTCTCCACTGGCACCGAGGTGCTGAACGCACACATGAAGCATTTCCCGTCCAACAGTGTCACAGAGATCCAGACAGCGGGTGCGATCATGGCCCGCTGGGCCATGGAGCAGAACATGTAGCGCAGGACAGCCGGGTCCTTTTGCCTCATGCCCGTGGGCCTCTTCCACTCCTCTGCCAGCACGGACACATTGTTGTTCATCACAAAGCCCAGGAGGAACAAGACCAAGGGGGGCACAAACAGGATGCCCATGCCATACACCAGGTTGTAACTCGGCAAGCAGGGGCAGTTGAAATCAAAGGCGGAGTACATCTGGGCGCTGGCCAGGGCCATGATCCCACAGATGCCATTCATGAAAGATTCCTGATTGGACTGGAGGAACTGGAAGATCATTCGGAACTTATCCATCTTCACGGACAGCCTTTACCTCCCTCCTTTCCTGAACCAAGACCAAGGTCTTGTTCCTCTTTGCTTTATTCTTTCTCCTTGGGAGTCTTTACTCCCTTCCTCCAAGACCCATGGCTCATTTGCAATGATCTCTTCCTTCCTTCATGTTGAATTATTCAATTACCTGGAAAAATGCCCCACTTCCCCCTTCACAATATTTAAAGCAAACAAACTCACCCCTTTCTTTAGCTTATTAAAGAAATGTTGTTTGCAACAATCCCTCGTTTATTTTCCCCTCTTCTAAGAGAGTATTGTCCATGAATCTCGGCTAGTTTGTGGCTTGGTAAATCTGCCTTCTCTGTTCTTCTCAGTGCCCTCATTTCTCCAGTTCTTTGGTCATTGAGACCTTTTATTTGTTGGGGGAGCTGTTGTTATATTTCTATAGTCCAGACAGCAATCTAGGTTCTCAGCAGGAAAGGGAGTTGGCTGGACTCTGTGAACTTGTTTGCAAATGCTACAGGGTAGCTGAATGCTCCTCCCACAGATAATTGGTAAGCAGGTGAAAACACATGATCCACTTCCGTAGGATTGTCTCTCACAAGGATGAGAGCGCACTAATGCAAAAATCAGGATGTCTGGAACATCTCTCTCTCTCTCCTGCCAGGGGAATTGTATTGAGGCTAGCAAAACAATTGGAGTGGTTCTTAGATTTATCAGCTTCCCTTCCCCCCCTTTCACTTCTTTGGGAACTAGTGATGCTGACGCACTCTGTTGTGTTCTGAGTGGGGTTGGAAGGTAAAGGCAATTCTACGGTGAGGCGGGGTAAAGTTGCCCATGCTCTAGAGTGTGATACATCGGTACAGTATAGAGCTGTTGTCCTATTCTCCCCTCTGCTCCACAGAAGAGCACTCTCGCTTTCAGCCAGACTTACAATGGGACACTTGTCATATTTTGGACTCTTACAGGGCCGTGCACCTAAGGATCACTAAGCACTTTACAAACACTAATCCACAAAGGCCACCGCAGCCATGGGTGGATGAGAGTTTGTACAGTAAGTAAGTAGTAGTCTCCCTGGCTTTTAGGGATGGAGACTCTGAGTTACAGACTAGAGCGAGATGTTGGTTAAAACCCAGTGGTCAGAGTCAGGAGTGCTGGGTTCTGTTCCTGGAGGTCCCCTGCAGCCCCAGATTTGCAGTGTGACCTCCCATAAGACACTTCATCTCTCTGTACCTCCATTTCCCCACGTACAAAATGGGGACCATCCTTACCAGTCTCACACTGGTATTGTGGAGACTCATTTTTTAGCATGAGCCCTATCATTTTCATTCACGGTTTATTAAGCACTTTTGAGATGCTGGAGGGGAAGATGCAAAGTATTATTAGGATAGAGGTTAAATGGTTTTCTTGAAATGAGTCACTGACAGAACCCAGGAGTCCTGTCTGTCCTGTGCTCTAGCCGCAAGCCACACGGGGCCCATTCCTCTATTCCTTTAGTGGAGTAACACCTGGCATGAACTTGTCTCGTGCTGGCTCCCGAGAGCCTTGGGGAAAAGAAATCTGTTAATAATATGTTAACAAGCCACCCTATGTAAATTTGTTTTATGAGTGAGGTAGAAACCAGGCTCTCTCTGAGGGGGCCCGTTATGCTGCCTGTGTGTAGTTAAGCAGGGAAGTTGCATTGCTCGGGTCAAAGGTTCTGAGATTGGATTATCGCACACAGCCCTGCCCCCCAGCTCTCAAGGACTTTGCTATTAACATGGGATCCATTCACTTTCATGTGTTGTCTTCTTTTCTGTGTTTACAGATCCTCTTTATAAAGCAGGGTCCCATAGAACATAAGAATGGCCGTACTGGGTCAGACCAAGGGTCCATCTAGCCCAGTATCCTGTCTTCCGACAGTGACCAGTGCCAGGTGCCCCAGAGGGAATGAACAGAACAGGGAATCATCAAGTGATCCATCCCGTCGCTCATTCCCAGCTTCTGGCAAACAGAGGCTAGGGACACCATCCCCTCCCAGCCTGGCTAATAGCCATTGATGGACTTATCCCTGCTTCTGACATACTGGTCAGCACCCCCAAAGAGGGGTAAAACTTGAACCTCTTCCTGCATTGGGCAGGTTCAGCTCTGGAGCTGGACTCAGAATGCATGGCTCAGAACCAGAGCGTGGGATTCAAACCCCTTTGAGCTCTGTGGATGATCAAACTGGGGTTCTGGAACTCACAGCTTGGATCCATCTCGACTCAGAAATAGGTTCACCCCACAGGAGAGGATGCATGAAGATGCCCCCTTCCCAGCATTAGATGCTGGCAGGCACCAGCTTCTGTGCATCCTACTGCTCAGCCTCTGCCAATCTTGGCTATGGGGGTTTTGTCTAGGGAGAGGCAAGCTGCTTGGAAATATAGAATCCATCCCTCACTCCAACCTCATTTGGAAGACGGCCCAGAGGCCACCCTGCTGTGTACTGGGAGGAAGGGTCTTTCAGAAGAGTCCATCTAACAGACTCCAAGGTTTGGTCCATCTGGGCCCTATTTACGCTTTCCCCATCCCCAGGGAGGAAAGCGGGAGGGAGTTGAGATGGGAGAGAAGCAAGCTGTCCTACTGTTTCTTGTAGTTGTGTGGGGATGGGATCTGAGGTGACCTAGTCTAATGCCCTATTAAAGGACAGGCGGTTACTGACCTAAAAACATTTTACCAGCTGATCTCTTTGGACAATGAGTGATAAATCGTGTCACATTTAGACTGTCACTTTGGCACCAGCTCAAGTATAGGGACAGCTCAATCTCCTGAACTGTCCCTGACTGAAGAGGTAGTAAATGGATCTGTCTTGACCAATCTGCAAGCACCTCACCTCACCATCCCTCTCTTCCTTTCTTATTCTGGCCATTCTGAAAGGGGGCATTAAGCTCAAATGGGAGCTGGACCCAGTTCAATGTATTGTAAATGTCTAGGCAGAGTGGATATGCTCAAGACCTGATACTGGGGATGAAGGAAACAAAGGCTAAAGAATTCAGTGTATTAATTCTAGGGTCTCATAAGCCAGCAAAATAACTGTTTGAATTAAATCCCAACCTGCCCTCAGAGTGTGAACCGTTGCAGCTTCTGAAGATATAGGAATGGGGTGCTAGGAAAAGAATCAGTGTGGGTGAGGGAGGGTGGTCTATTGGCAAAGGCCCAGGTCAGGAACCTGGGAGAACTGGTTTTAGTTCCTGCCACAGATTCCCTGTGTGACCTTGGTCAAGTTACTTAATCTACCCTCTGCCTCAGTTTCCCATCTATAAAAAGGGCATGATATTCCCCTGCTTCTCAGGGGTATTCTGATGATTCAAAACCACCCATGCTTGCAATGCTATGGGGAGGATTGACATATAAGTACCCAGCCAGGCAGAAATATGTAAAAGCATCCATCCAGGGATTCATCCAGCAGCTTGTGCTGTCCTTGGGTCCCCTAACTCCTGCCAAAAAAGTGAATGATTTGCTTTATCACATGAGGTTTTTCCCCAGTTCCTCCTGCTAACAATCCATTCCCAGGGGATAGCATTGGCTAGGGAATTTGTGCTCTGACATGTTCTCTTCTCGCTATTTTATCCAGTCATGTTTAACCAGTGCCATCCACCCGAGTATCTCAGGACTTCCACCGTTGTGTCTTCACATAGGCCTACGCTTGCAGCGGTGTGCAGAGTACGGACATGGCACACCCCGATAGCATGGGTGTAACTAGCAATGTAGACACTGAGGCATTGCATAGGTGAATAGAATATAGACATGCCAGAACCTCTAGGCTATATATCTATATGGGGGTCTACATGCTCGTGCAGTGCCTCCCATATCTACACTGCTGCCTTCCCACTTCCGGAACCTTTCCCAGCCGCAGTGAAAGTCTCCATTTACAGCAGGGAGAGGCTCTGGCAACTGGGAGAGGCTCTGGCAGCTCCTTGCCTTTGCCAGAGCCTTTCACTGCCATGTGTACAACACACCATGCAGTGTGGACGCAGCCTGCCTTTCACTGCGGTGTGCAGCGACACATACCCTAGATACTGTCACAATTGTAGACAAGGTTTCCAAGCCTTTTCTGTATTGGCCTTTGAGATGTGTGGGGGACTTCCCCAACCCACCTTAACTTGGCCAGTATACTTGCATCCTCTCCCCTACACCAATGCACAAATCAATGTATCAGGTCACTCTCAACCTTCAAAGCACTGGGGCTTTCCTATGGGAAGATTGAAACTGGAAGCTGAGGCTCTGCACGTATTTGACAGACAGCGCAGAATGAATAAGACAGATCCCTCCAAGCTGTTCAGAACTGCAGACAGATGTTAGTGAAGCATGACAGCTGCAGCTGGTCCAGGCCTGTTTATTTCCTGCAGTATGAATCAAAATGAGCTGGGGTTTCTTGTTAAATAGTTGCCCTTCTCCTGGACATGTTATCCAAGGTTCTCAAAGCAATGCACAGACATTAGTTAAGCTTCCTTGCCACCTAGGAGATAATTGTGTGGTACTGTCCCCATTTTACAGATGGGAAAACTGAGGCAGTTTAAGAGACGAAAGTATAGTCCAGTGGTTAGGGTGCTAGTTTGAGACTTGGGAGACCTGGGTTCAGTTTCCTCTTTCACCACAGACTTTCTGTGTGATCTTAGGTAAATCTCTGTGCCTCATCTGCAGGGGAAGATAATAGCACCTCCCTACCTTACAGGGGCATTGTGAGGATGGATACATTAAAGATTGTGAGGTGCATAGCTACTGTAGTAAGAGGGGGGCCATATGGGTACATAAATAGGCACAGAGAGAATAAGTGGTTTGCCCAAGACCTTGCAGCAGGGTCGTGGCCGAGTCAGGAACACAACCCAGAGTTGTGAGGATTAGACAGCACTACTGGCTCTCATCATTTAGCCTCCAACAGACTGGTGATAACACTATGTCCCTCCTGAGATGCTGTGCACTGTGGATCTATTCAATGGACGCTGAGTACAATACACTTTGGTATTCACCAGGAAGCCTTAATTCTGTCTCTGACTCCTGCTCCGTAGCTAATTGCATGGTCTCATCCAACAGGAATGGAGATTTGGCTGCATGAATATAGGTGAGGCAGCTTGTGATAAAGAAACTTTGCAAAGCAAATTCCAGTGCTGGTTAAGAGCTCCTCTGCTCACCTGGTGTGGGACTTTTCTGGTGACATCAAGGACAGTTCACATCAAAGCCTGAATGAACAACTAGTCAAAACCTCCCAATATTTGCAGAGGGCTGTTTGATCACTTTGAAAGCTTTGCCTTACATTAAAAGTGGGCGGAGGACCTGACTACTGTGACACTTTGAAGTCAATGGCTGCTCAGCAGGATTCAGAATAAAGCCCTCTATGAGCCAGTGTCTTGATCTTTCTTCTCTTGTGGCTTTGTGCTATAGCCTAGGGCTTTTGTTCAGAGATCCTGCCAGCTGACTGCTAACACAAAATGCTTTGGAGTTTAAGACAAAGTTGGTATCA